AGACTTAGGCAGTGGCTGTCTGACTAGGACTTTTGTGTCCTCAGGACATAATAGCAAGACCTGACAGATGGGTGGCATTGGACTAGAGAACTGAGACACAGTCAAGGAAACAATTGTAAAGAGACGTTCTACAGAATGAGAGAAACTCTGCTAGCTATTCATGTATAAACGATTCATATCTAGAAAATAGAAAAGATTCAAAAAGTAAACCACCAAAAGAAAATAATAATTAAATCAATAAGCAGGCAAATTAATTGAAAAGATTCTTCTCAAAGTACAAATCCCAACAAATTTCTGAAATAATTTTCATAAATGATGATCCTTAGCCACCAGAGAAATGCAAATGAGAACCACATTGAGATTCTCTCTTCTCCCAGTTGACATGGCTCTCACCAGGAAAACAAATGTTGATGAGGATAGGGGTAGCAATGGGATACTATTGCCAGGAATGCCAATTAGCCCATCTACTGTGGAAATATGTATGGAGGTTCCTCATAAAACCAAAAATAGAACTACTACATTATCTAGCTGTGTTGTTCTGATTATATACCCAATGGGTATGAAGTCATCATATACCACTGTTTGCTGTGGCCCTGGTCACAACAGCCAGGAGACAGAATCAACCTAGGTACCCATCAAAAGATGGAAAGAAACTGTGAATATGTGAGTCCCTATCTAACAGGATTTGCCCATTAAATTTTTAACTCAAATGCATACATGTGTTATTTCATATTCACCTTTATTACACTACATTTCACTGATATTTTCTCTACTTCAGACACTTATTAGGTACCTTTTGATCTGCTCTAGTTGTTGGGTTAGAGGATGTGGCTTAGGTTATCTTCCCCAACGCCTTTCCTCGACACTAACCACAATATAAAGGGCACTTTAGAAATATCTGTTGAACTCAATTAGCCCATCTCAATCATGTATTCAAAAGGTCTACATATTTTATTGTCTTGTCTTCTAGAAAGCTCCGGACCTGAAAAGATAGTCATAGCTCATGCTAGAGACCAGCCAAAGCTCTGCGATAACCTAGCAAACCTGCCTTGCTAGCCCTAGATGACCATGGTTTCCTAAATCCTTTGGATTAAAGAGGAAGGCACTGTTGTACAATGTGGACAACGGATTGGGTCACAGGGTAATTTTTTTCAAGCTCTATTTTGCCAGGATTTCAGAAAATATAATTTGGTATTGAATAGCTTGCTGGTCTCAGACCAGATGGTTAGTACATTCTGATTTTCAGAACTGGGGAGGCTTTCTGACTAAAAATAAATTAGAGGAAGAGGAAGCTATTACATAGTTGCGTATATGTGAACCATGGAGCCAGCCACTCTACGTTTTATCCTCTCGTAGCAAACTTGGGCGGGTTAGCCATATTTACAAGTAGGTGAGCTAAGGGTCGCAGAATTTAGTGCCTGCTCCAATGGCAGACAGCTAGCAAGTGGATGGTTAGAATTCATCCAGCTCCATGGACAGTCACAAACCTCAGGCCTCTTCCCAGGACTGCGCTGCCCCTCAGGCTGTGAGCCATGTGCTCTCCTGTCTATTTTACTGCCTTTGTGTCTTTCGTGTTCAGTTCCTTCATGACCCCAAGAGCAGGCTGGGATGTTTGGAGCCACTCGCTCATTCTACTAAAGCTCAGACTCTATGTGAATATGGGAGCGGATAAAGTTCATTATGGATGTGGGAACACACCAGCTACCACACAGATGCCAGTCAAGTCTGTGGCCAGCCCTAAACCCACGTGGCTTCCAGTGAACCACCCAAATAGTCCCACCCATGTTCATCTGCGTGCACGGATTGGTTGGCACTGTGAACTGATTAGGAAGGGCGGGCGGCTCAGCAATCCTTAGACCTTCCCTGCTCTATGATTTCAGTTTTCTCAGGCAAGGTGAAGTAAAGGTGACACTGACAGGCAGGGCCTTGCCTTTTGTCAGGACTGGACCAAGAGCAAAGCAAAGACAGAGCATCGATCATCACGTACAGAAGGCTGTTACAGAACATCGCACTTTCCAAAGTACTCGCAAGTCTACTGGGGCGGGGATTCTGTTCTGTTAACAGTGATGACCGATGGGAAGAACGACAGGGGAGAGGAGGGCTGTCAAGGAAGAAAAGACATATTCAGACTCACGCCACTGACTAAATCAGCTAGCAAAGGCGTTGATAAAGACATTAATGATCCAAAAGCCTGCTCCAATAGAAGCCTATAGATAACAATTATGTCACCCCCCCCCCTCCAAGGTCAAAGGCAATAAAAGTATGCTCTGTTGAAGGCTGAAAGTGTGCCCAGAAGCTTCATTTCTGTGGCCTTGCTGGGCATTCCAGAGACAAGGGTGAACAGAGACCGGTCTGTAGCCAGAGATCAGTCAGTTGACCTACTGGGTATTGGGGAGGACTTCTAGCTTAGCACCCTGTAAAACTGTCTCTGTCACAGGCAGACTTTGGAACAAAGTGTTCGTTCAATTCTATGGCAAAGACTTTGGGGACTGGTCTACTTCACCCTCTCGTTCCCCATCAGCTTCCCTGGTGTAGCTAGATAAAGAATCCCAGTTTTCATCTCTTCTAAGGACACAAAGTACACGCACTGGAAACGTATTCCGGATTGTTCCGGTTGTACCACATCTGCACAGCCTGTCTGGCTGTGCCTATGAGCACACCTGCATTTGTCAGAACATGTGTTCCCACAAGGGGTTTGCAAACTGTGATACCTTACGGCTCAGGAAGGGATGTGCAGAAAAATAGGGCGCTTTACGAAACCTGGTTTGTTTTTGTGTTCATGCTGGCACACAGGCACTGATAAAAAGAAGAAACCATGGAATACTCATTTTCTTTACCGATTTTAGGTTTCACGAAAATGCATGTTTTTAAGGGGATCTGGGGTTGTCCGGAGGTCCACCTGAGCTGTTGGTAAAGGAAGCAAGAAGAAATGCAGGTATTAAAGACTCGAAGGAGGTGCCCGCACACGCAACAGAGCATGTTCGAATTTAGTGGGTCACGTAGAATTTTCTTGAACGTTATAATTTAAAAAAATGGTCTTTGAGGGAGTCAAGAGAAGGCTTGATGAGTCAGGGCGCATCCCACCAAATCTGCCAACCTGAGTTTCCTCCCCAGAGCCCACGTGGTAGACAGAGAAAACTGAACCCTGCACATTGTCCTCTGGCCTTCCCGTATGTAGACACACTACACACTAAATAAGTGTAAAAACAGTAAAGAATACTACTTGAAGGGATTTTGAAATATAACTCTGTGGTACAGCGCTTGCCTAGCAAGCCCACAGTTTGAATGGGTTGGATTCCCGGCAATATAAAAAGGGAAACCACAAAGGGTGTTTGCAAACCTAATAAAATAGATTAGATTCAGGCAGCTATGCTGCTGGAAATTGAGGGTGAAGGGCATGAGAAATGCCGGAGGGAAGGGGCAGAACAAGGAAGGAAGGCGTTGTGCAAGGAGCCAGAGACTGCAGGAGCCCAGGTAATCTCCAAGGCTGCGATGAAGAGCTGAGAACAGTCTCCTCCTTCCTGGCATCTACGATCCCCCCTCCCCCCCCCCCCCCCCCCCGCAGACAAGGAGAATTTCTTAGAACCTTCCTCTGGGGTCAGACTGCAGAGAAGTTAGTGAAGACGTTGGAGAGGACTGTAAGGCACCCTTAGGAGACTTCTGAACTCAAGTTCAGGAAAATCCACAACCAGCGTTGACTTTAAAGAGTAGGAGAAAAGAACCTTTGTGTTGGGCACAGTCCTTTGTTTACACTAAAAATAGAAACGCCTACCAAATTGCCCACATGTTACGTTTCTGTTTCTCCTTCCTTATTTCTCCTTCCCCTTCATGCAAACATCCGGATCCTTCAAGGATATTAAATATTAGTTTGATTGAGTTTGAAAATCCAGAAACCCATAAATGTTTACAAAGGGTGGCTGAGAAACTCTTAAATCCGAAAAGTTCTGCCCATTTACTGTTCCCCCCCCTTGAAGGAAAGCAACCAGAAGAACAACTAGAACCCCAAAATACTTCCTAAGCTAAACAACAAAACATTACTCGATGCTAAAATTTAAGTGTTAATTTGGCGACCTTTTCTCAAATTATTGATACTTTTTAAGAAAAATCGTAAATGCCATTTGAGTGAGTGTTTGACACTAAAGAGGGGTTGTTTCCTTTCCACTTCACCTCCTCTTCCCAGGAATACAATAAAAAGGGGCATGCTCAGACAATGAGCTTGCTCAGGACTTAGACTTTGTGCCCTGGAAGCGAGCACCTTTTATTCACTGAGCTGTGAACTGCCTCAAGTACTTAGGTGATTTAATGTATTTATCATAGCTGGCTTGTAAGCCAACGACACCTCCTCCAGTTTACAAAAAGTCATCCGAACCATGCTATCTAAACGCCTGCAACTTCCCAGATGTTGGATTGCAGGGGTGGAAGACACTGATTCTTAAGCACTAACAAAGCTGACTTTTCATTCTCAGCTATGGCCCAAGTGTCACTTGTCGGCACCCCTTCATTCATCTTCCAGAGACGGCAGGCAGCCGAGCGCCTAGCATTTCAATTTCAGCATGGATTTCTTTTGTCTTTTTCAATAGACAACCAGTGTGAGATGGGGAAAATTTCGCTCTTCTAGTTGGGTGTATTTATTATTTACTGTGCACTAAACACAGTGTGTGTGTGTGTGTGTGTGTGTGTGTGTGTGTGTGTGATATTTTATCCAAATGGCTAGAAGCATTTTATACTTGTAAGCAGCTAAGCTTGCAACACGATGCTCACTTCAAAACTAGAAATGAGTGAATTACTCTCTTAAAAAAAATTAATTAATTCATATTTTTGTCTTCAGCTTAAGTTGTGTTGGAAGTTCTAAATTCTTTGAAATCTTATATTCTTTGGCTCGAGAGCTGGTTGAGTTAGACTCTGGGTACCTACTCAAATACAAACACCTATTTTACATATCTAAATGTTGGGCTGTAGCATTCGCCACATTTTATATCAGTCTTTTCTTTCTGATCTAGGACAGAACACTATTTCATCCTGTAAGCAACAGCTGCATGGACTGCAACCCTGCAGAGAAAAAGATTTTCATGGCCAGATGTGACCCTCTCTCTGAGACTCAGCAATGGATTTTTGAACATATCAACATGACTATTTTAGAAAAAAATAGCTACCCTGCCAGCTCCTAGAAAGGAAAGAAGAGCGATCACCTACAGATTGGGAACTGTGTTGTAGCGGGCGCCTGGGTCAAAGGAGTCAGGAATAATGTTTCCTAGATCTAGGAAGCCTGCTCGAAAGATGTGTAAATGCCATGTCAACGTAGGCTGTTCGGGAGGAGTTCCTACATCTGAAGAACTTGGCTGAGAACCCCACCAGCTGCTGCTGAGAACTGGAGACTAGCAGTTCCCTTGCTGGCCAAGGGTAAAGATTATTTAGGGACTGTTCGCCACGACTGCTGAGTTAATCGATCCTAGCATTTCTCAGGTCAAATCCTGCAGTAGTGAGTAGCTATGAATGGATCCTATTAATCGGGTGGGAGGGGGGCGGAAACAGAGCGCATGACTGCTCTGGCAACCTGAGGCTACCACAGGCCTAGAACTAGCCACGCTTGAGGGGTGAGCTCTTTGGTGCCATTCTCTGACGAGGAATGGGTTAAGCAGGTTTAACCCTCTAAAGTGCTGCAGATGATTTTAGAGTGCTCATACCATTCTCTTTTCTTTTGTCTTCTCTTCGCACAAGGGTACACGGCATCTGAGACGCACATCCCATGTTCTCATTCACACCTGCCATTCTCCTTTCAGGGCCTTTACTCTCTGTCATGCTTCAGAGGAGTCCATGTTCCACCAATCAGATGGCGTTCTAATTCAGCATCCTTGGATGAATCCAGTTAAAGACAAAAACAAACAACAAAAAAGCGCCACTCTGCTACCCAGTTACTCCAAACAAAGATTCACAGAAGCAGCAAAACAACATACACGCGTGCACACACACAGGTTAGGGAAGAAATTTCTCTAGGAAATCTATTTTTACTTTTCTATTATTTTTAAATTTTAAAAAGTCTGATGTCTGTCCAGTTGTAACTTTGATTAAAGAAGGCATTGCAGTGGGGTTGAGTTGGTCTTAAATAAATCTTCACTCCAAGTGATGTGGAAATGGCTTCATTCACTTCAGTTTTGTTGAATCTGGCAATTTAAAAAGTGGTATTATTTAAGTGTTAGTTTTTAATCTCCCCCGTTCTTGAAAATAATGATGTTGTCTCATTTGAAAGTCCAGGAAAGGAATTTCTATTAATTTTCTATTTTCTATTAGTGGGCAGTATTTCAGGAGTGTGGAAAAAAAGAAATAAGTTCAAAATTAACATGCTCTAGATGTTTTGGGTGCAGGGTGTTCTTACCTTTATTTTTATTATTTTTAATATAGTTTCCTTGTTAATAAAAAATATATATGTCAAGATGATCTATATATTGGGGGCATAGATCACTAAAATCCGGTGTCTTTACCAACTTCTTTTTTTCAAGCATTCTTTTCAAAAAGCTGTTTCTTTTAAAACTGTCTGCCACTGAGATCTTTTGTATAGGTCAAGTCATCTTGTAATAGTCAAGATGCATAGCGGAGAAAATCAATAGTGAGAAATTAACCTGTGTGTTGAACACTTCTAAGGAGTGGGTGAAGATTTATCTCAAATGTTCAGAGAGCAATCTGGCTGGAGAATTAGACGAGCCTATAAAAATTCACATTATGTCATTAGACAGTTGGCTGCTATTTACAATCGGACCAAAGAGACAACCTTGGGTTGCTCAGCCTGGAAAGCCCAGCTTTGTCATAATCTCTTAGGATGTTAAGTCATGGCTGGCCAGCTAGGGCCTACCCTAAGTATTGCAGCATTTTCATGGGATACACAGTGATCCATCAAGATTGGTCTCTTACTCTCTGAATAAAAGATTATTTAAAAAAAAAGAAATTATTTTTTTCTCTAAATAAACAAACAAAAAGGAAGCTTGGGACATTAAATGCAACTGCCAACTATGGAACAATCATTGATGGTGTGCACTCGGGGAGCATACAAATGGAGTCTGGAGAGTCTGCCCCTGAGCAGGAGGGTAGAGTACTGCCCAGAAAAGCACATTGAGAGAGGCATTCCCTGTGCCCCTCAAGGTCGGAAGTCTACTTGCTTGAAATACAATCTGAAAAGCATTAAACAGCATATGTTTGCACTTTCAGTTAGCAGGAGGCACTGAATAGTCCTCAGGAAGGCGACTGTTCCTGGAAATAAAATTCTTTGAGAACTTGAGAGTTGAGTCCTCACACCAATTCTTTTATCAAGATGGGGTTGATATCAAGTTGGTGTGGTCAACAAAAATAGCTGTTTCTCCATCGTAAGAGTAGTTCTGAGAGAAAGAAGAAAATAATTAATTTTTTTGAAACCCCCTTTGTGTATTTACAGGGGAAAAACAAAACCTATGCTATAAAACAATCGGGACTTAACTGTGTGGTTCATGCCTTTTCAAGGCTGGATGAGTACCTTGGCAATACTAATGTACCGGCTTATATGTCTACTGTAATTTACTTATATGACTATGATCACATGACTGTTTTTAAATGTAGTCATTCTATCAGAAGCCTCAGTGAATAATGGAAGTTCCAGGACTATTTTGTGAATTGATAACATAGAACTTTATACAATAAATGAATAACACATAATACAAACGGACTCACAGTCAATGAAAAAGAAGTGATAGGCCCGTTATTTTCTACATTTCTTAAAAGCCATGAGACCAATATCAACCTGACACCATTTCTTTTAGTAGCGATTATATGTTTTAAAAGAAGATAGCTGTCAAATTATAAGTATGTTCCTTATCTTCACATGGAAAACTTCCATTTTTTTTTTCTTTGAATTTGAAATTGAACCTAGGGCCTCGAGCATGCAAGGCAAGTGCTTTGAACTGTATTCCCGGCCCCATTTTCCATCCTTCTAGAACTATCTATAAGAAAAGATCAAAACAAAAAATCTTTTACTTAAAGACCAGCTCTCTAAGGACAGCAGATCCATCAAAAGAGCCAGTGGCACTTTGATTCACTCTGATTCCACAGCCAACTGTCCCTCAGTCACAGACGGCGACTCCTGCCACCGGGAAATTGCTCCTTCAATCCTTCACACACCTCGAGATTCAGAAAGGGGGTGCTACCAAGTGAAGCCAGCTCTGCTGTTAGCACCCTACCCTAGTCTTTCCCAGTCAACAGCTTTCCCTTGCCCTCCCTTGCAGAGAAATACTGACCTTTTTTTTTTCCCTTCAGAATTTAGTATTATCCTAAAAAATATGATATTATAGCTGTTGATTTATCATTCCAGGAAGCTGCTTACTAAAATATCTTTAGGTTTCTTTCCCTGTCGGGGATATAAACCTGCTGTACATGGCCAGGTGCTGGGGACAGGCTGGAAACAAGGCCTTTAACATAAATCATGCAAAGGAACACCTCACAGTGAACATATGGGGGAAAGAAGGGCATTATCGTGTCTCTAGACATGGGTGTGGACAGCCCTCCCCATGCAATTCCTGCGTAAATTCTCCCCTCGCCACCATCACTCGCAGACCACAGGGCTCGCGGTAATTACTCTCCACGTGTGGAGCTGTGGTTGAGGACACTGAAGCGTGACAAGTGGCCAGTCGTTCCCACACTGCCGGCACTGGGAAGAGTGCTCTTTGATTTATGTCTATAGCCTCTGCTAGCAGAACTCGGAGCTGTTTGCAACTCCATTTGGCAGACTCAACACTGGCCTGAAGCTTCTCTTCCCAGCCGCTCATCTCGGCACTTGACATTCCAGACTGGTGTGTCTGCTTCTGCCGCCTCTCAGCAAAAAGACAGCTCGGGCTGGTGTTTGATGCGGCTCTTCAGAGAGCTCTGGAGAGGGTTCCTGTGTCCCTCCCACCCGCTGTGGCCCCCTTCAGCTCGCCACACACTAGATTTCTGGGATTTCCACGGTTTACGTCTGCTCAATGTAACAAAGTTGAAAGGATTGACGACAGCAGAGGGGCTGGTTAAATTTCCAGATCCTATTTCTAATTATTTTACTCTTGACATCACTCACCTTGGGGTGGGAGGCAATCATAACTAAGACGTGTATGTCCTGGCTTTTCAAGGACAGTCTTGGTTTATGTCTATTTACCTACATAATTATTCATAGTGCCCCCTTGCTCCTAAAGGTGACATGAATTACCTAACAAATTAAATAATTATCTGATTTATAATCCATTTGACTGTTTATGGTTCCTCTGTGGAAATTGCTAAAAAGTCTTTTGCTTCTACCTGTCTTCAAGAAATCAACTAGCCTTCCCTTCAAACAGGTCGAGACTATTGTCACACTACTGATGACTTCCTATTGTATTTACATGATATTTTATAGGTGGTTTGATGGAAGAGTTAGCGTCAAGAGTTTTTATATCTGCCTAAATTATTTTTCTGAGTTAATACAATTCTAAACTTAGATGAGTTCTTAAATACAGTTTTAAAATTTTACCTGGAACTTGAAACCAAGACATTTCCAACTTCTCCAGGTACAGACAGTAGATACCCAGAATAGACTGAGGGCTGTTTTTGCTCATTCTGATTTGATGTATGACAGGACAAAGGTTATTTCATTATTGCTCTTGCTTTGCAAAGCGGTCTTGTATTTATTATCACAGTCCCCCTAATACAGTGGCTCTTGCAATAGATGTCATTAACTATACTTATGAAGAAACTATAAGACTCAGAGTAAAGAATTTTGTGGAGTCCCATAACAAGTTAGTGGAGTCGCCACTAGAACCCAGGCCTTTGGTACTCAGCATCCTCCGGGGTACCTCATAGCTCCCAGCAAATTTGGATTACTACACAACAGTGTGATCACTTATTCCTCTGGGAGTTGGGGTTTTAGCCCCTCTCTTGTGTTTGTTCTTCTTTGTACCTGTGTGTTTTTATTGGTTTTCCTGCAAGCTTATTAAAGTAAGAACACCAAACCGAATCCAGGGTTAATCCCTCTTAATGAGATTTCCTGAGTACTTTGAAGAAAAGGAGTGAGCAACTCAAGCTATTTGTATAGCTGTCGATGATAAATCCTAACGCAAACACTGTGTGCTCCGGGATGGCTAGTGAGCTCAGTCCTCAGGGTATAAAGCAGCCACCAAACAGAGAGCCTGCCTTTACTCCACAGCAAAACCCTAAACTGACCTTTTCCTGCAGAGCCTTGTGGCTCACCCCTGAGATCCATGCACTCAACAGGCAGGAGGATGGCCGGGAATTCTAAGCTAGCCTAGACCCAGAGTAAAACCTTGCCTCAACATTATATGAATGAGTTGAAAAGAGAGTCATCCTTACAATACCACCACTGTGAGGCAGAGACAGGTGGGTCCCTGTGAGCTCACGGTCATTTTGGAATACATAGAAAGTACCAGGCCAGCCAAGTTTACATAGTCAGACCTTGTCCAAGGAAGGAAGGGAGGAAGGCAAAGGGGAGAGAGGGTATGAAAAAGGGCAAGAAAGAGAGAGGGAAATTTTTGAAAATATATCTATATCCCTGCCAATAGTCTCCTGAGCATTCTTGCAAGTTCTCTCTCAGACACAATGGAGACACTGCGGGCCTAGTGTGTATTCTGTTCTCTGGGCATTTTGATTACACCAGATATCTTTGTGTCTTCTCATTATTAGGCAAAATGCCATAACCTAGGTGGGGTATACACAATAGAAATGTATTTCCCACAGTTCTAAAAGCTGAGGAGTTCAAGATAAGAGAACAGTTAAAGTCAGTGTCCCATGAGAGCCCCATTTTAGTCCGGAAGACGGCTTCCTTTCCCTTCACTAGTGATGCGACTCTGGGGTATAAGGAACCAATGCCAATCCTGTTGACTCTGCTCTCCATTAATCCCCAAAGGCCAGATCCTAACATGATGGCCTTGGAGGCCAGGAGTTCAACATACACAATGAGAGGGTGTACACAGACCCAGACTGTAGCATTAGGCTTACCCCAAATCTACTAAGTGAGGATTTGGGGAGGGGAGAAGCTGCTAAACACAGAGACGTCTAGGGTCAAACAAAACACTGCTCTCTCTCTTACTGGTGAACCCAACTTAATTCTCTGATATGACTGCCTTCTTCACAAACGTAGGCTGCAGACGTCTGGAAGAATGGTTGGCTATAATGCAGAGCTAAATTTAAAGTCCAAGAACATTTTATTTCCAACTCCTCTAGCTCTTATTAGGGCAGTGGTTATTAAATTTTAGCCTTAACAGCACCTGGAGAAATTGTCAAAACAGGCAGCTAGGTTGAAACCTCCCGGGGTCCAAGAACAAGCCTCTAAGTGATGCTATTGCTGGAGGTGGGAGCTCATGCTATTGGCCAACTGGAACCAATCAATAGCCTGAGCATCTTGGAAATGTATTTCTAAAGATGATTTTGTTCTTGTAGACTAAATTTAGGAAGCAGTGGTTTTATGTATCGTTTCTAAGAAGTGATAAAAAAAAAAACCCAGCTCACTGGGCATTCAAAGCAGCATAACAGCCAATAAGTACACACATATAATAAGAAAGCTGCCACACAGTTCTAGAAGGCAAAGTTGCAGAGCTGGAAGACCAAGAAGAAGCTGCATTGTGTCACCTAAATCTCTCTTTTTAAAAAAGATTATAACCGGGCAGTGGTGGCTCATGCCTTTAATCCCAGCACTTGCGAGGTAAGGCAGGCGGATATCTGTGAGTTCAAGTACAGCCTAGTCTACAAGAGCTAGTTCCAGATCAGGCTTCAAAGCAACAGAGAAACCCTGCCTCAAAAAAAAAAAAATTTAAGATTTTATATATATGTATATATATAATTTCTATATATGTATATTATATAACATTTATATACTACATAACTTATAATTACATACCATGTAGTATATATAAAGATAGTGTAGTATATTATATATATTGTCTTGTTTTCTTTTGTTTTTGTTTTGAGACAGAATTTCTCTTTGTAACAACTCCGGCTGTCCTGGAACTCGATTTGTAGACTAGCTGGTTTTGAACTCACAGAGATCCACCAGCCTCTGCCCCCCGAGCGCTGGGATTACAGGCCTGAGGCACCAACACCCAGCAAAAGATTACATTTTTATTTTTAGTGTGTGTGTGTGTGTGTGTGTGTGTGTGTGTGTGTGTGTGTGTGTTTGTTGGGGGTTATATGGAGGAGGCACAGTGCTTGCAGAGGCCAGAAGAGGGTATTGGATCCCCTGGATTTGGAGTTACAGGCAGTTGTGAGACACCAAATATGGGCTCTGGGGATTGAACTCAGGTCCTCCATAAGAGTAGTGTTTAACTTGACTCCTGAGCCGTATCTCCAACCCTCACTTAAAGTTCAAGTTAACATATAATGAATAGTAGATCACGATCCTTGCCTTGAGTGTCCCACGTGGAGTATTATTGATTATTGATTATTGCATCCCCCTTCGAACTACCAGTGACCTTCAGAAAAGAGTATTGAGACTCAAAATAAGACATACCTTGGCTAAACTATTCACTTAGTGTTACTCTCTAGTATATAATCCAATCTTTGCTCACTCTCAAATTCTATCTTTAAAACACACACACATACACACACACATTAATTTCTGGCGGGTAGTATTTGCCCAGCTTCCCTTTCAAGGCACGGTGTGGACATGACTGAACCATGGCTTTGCCATCTTGGAAAAAGGCCATGTGCCTTATTACAATTCTTAGAAGTGTAACAAGTCCTTGCTGTGTGCAGCAGGGGTCAACGGCATCATTTGGGAGAGTCGTGGAAGGAAAACAAGGCCTTAGCATCTGTGGCGTTAGGGTTGTGGGGTGTATGGGTTTGTAACTCCTTCCTATCGAAAAGCAATACCCAG